TTTTTTTTTTTTTTTTTTTGGACTTCCTCTTCCACCCCTCACTTAGTCTGAGTTCCTTAAAGAAAAGAGCAGTGTCTTCATCTTTGGGTCCCCAGTGTTCCTTTAGAGCTTGGCAGACATTTAAAAACAAATATTTGAGTACTTGCTATACTCAGGCACTGTTTTAGGTGCTGGAGATAGAGCTCTAAAGAAAATCGGACAGTTTGAGAGAATGGCTCAGTCTGACCTTTAAGATCTTTGTTTTGTTTTTCTCATTACACTGGCTTTTCTTGAGTATGGGTATTGTTTTGCAGCTTATACTCTTGACATTTTATCTTACTGCAGTAAATAGTACAAATATGAGTTGGTCCACCTATGTTCTGTTTTTCCTGCATAGGCTGGATAAGTTACGTGTAGTATCAGGCAGGCAGTCCTGAGAAGAAATGCCATTATCTCCTACACTGGTTTACCTCTCACTTTGAACCTAGTACAAGTATAAGAGATTGTACTATTCCAGGAGCTTTTCATCCTTAGAATTATAAGCTATGATAATAACAAGAATTTTGAAATGGATGTATTTTTTAGCATAAAATTGCTAGTTGAGAAAGCATCATTACTACAGTAGTTCTGGTTGAGAAATTATACAGTTGGGCAGCTAGGGAGAATAAATATAATTGAACTCTACTATGAAAGACCCACAGGCAAAGGCGTATTTTAACTTTGTGTGTGTTGTATATACTAGTGTTTAGCGTCGACTACAATGATGAACTGGACATCTTGGTGAGTGGCTCTGCAGACTTCACTGTGAAAGTATGGGCTTTATCTGCTGGGACGTGCCTGAACACACTCACTGGGCACACAGAATGGGTCACCAAGGTAGGAAGACTTATACAGAAGAAATGTTGACATCAGTCTTGCTGAGGGTGGGGGAGCTGGGGGTGGGATGGAGGATGGTAGATGCTGCCTCATAAGTGGTAGATGAGTCATAAGATGGGATAGATACAACCACAAAGCATGATGGTGTATAACAGTGACCAGCATGTAAAAGACACTCAATAAATAGTTTAATGAATGAGTGACTTATGGACATGGAAATATGCCCACAATATATTAGGTGGGTAGAGGGAGCAAATAAAACAGGTTACATACAAAAAACTATGTAGAGTATGACGACAGTTTCTAAATGTGTTTTTGCACTAAAATGTTGAAGATGATTATTTCTTGTGGAATTGAGTACTTTTTTCCCTTTAGGATAAGCATATTTTTAAATCAGAAAAGTAATTTTCATTAAAAAAAAAATGCTTGCGAGAAGTGGAAGAAAAATGTACAGGCTCTTTAAAAGAACGTTGTGCTGGTTTCTAGCCACTTTTATTCAACATATAATTGGAAGTCCTAGACAGAGCAGAAAAAGAAAAAAAGGGATCCATGTTGGAAAGGAAGAGGTAAAACTGTCAGTATTTGCAGATGCATGATAATTTGAGAACTCCACCAGAAAACTGTTAGAACTTGTAAACTACATGTAAAGTTGCAAGATGTAAAATCTATACACAAAAATCTGTTGCCTTTTTGTACAGTAATAATGAACTATCAGAAAGAGAAATAAAGAAAACAGTCCCATTTATAATTGCATCAAAAAGAATAAAATACCTAGGAATAAGTTTAACCAGTACATAACAGAAAGACCTGTATATTGAAAACTGCAAGGCATTAATGAAGGGAATTGAAGTAGACACAAATAAATGGAAAGGTATTTCGAGCTCATGGATTGGAACAATCAGTATTGTTAAAATGTCCATACTACCCAAAGCAATCTGCAGATTCAGTGCAATCCCTATCAAAATTCCAATGTCATTTTTCAAGGAAATAAGACAAATAATCTTAAAATTTGTATGGAACCACAAAAAACCTCAAAAAGCCAAAGCAGGGCTTCCCTGGTGGCGCAGTGGTTGAGAGTCCGCCTGCCGATGCAGGGGACACGGGTTCGTGCCCCGGTCTGGGAAGATCCCACATGCCGCGGAGTGGCTGGGCCCGTGAGCCATGGCTGCTGAGCCTGCGCGTCTGGAGCCTGTGCTCCGCAACGGGAGAGGCCACAACAGTGAGAGGCCCACGTACCGCAAAAAAAAAAAAAAAAAAAGCCCAAGCAGTCTTGAAAAAGCACAAAGCTGAAGGCATCATGCTTTTAAACTATATGACAAAGATACAGTAGTTAAAACTATGGTATTGGCAGAACAGACACATAGATCAATGGAACAGAATAGATAGCCCAGAAATAAACCCACATATATATGGTCAATTCATTTATGACAAAGGAGCCAAGAATATACAATGGGGAAAGGGCAAGTGTCTTCAATAAATGGTGTTGGGAAAACTGAACAGCCACATACAAAAGAATGAAACTCAACCACTGTCTTACACCATACATAAAAATTAACTCAAAATCAAGTAAAGATTTGAACTTCTTAACACCTGAAATCATAAAACTTAAGACTAGAAGAAGACATAGTAAGCATTTTGACATAGGTTTTGGCAGTGATTTTTTGAATCTGACACCAAAAGCAACAAAAGCAAAAATAAATAAGTGGGACTACATCATACTTAAAAGCTTCTGCACAGCAAAAGAAACTTAACAAAATTAAGAGGTAACCTACTGAATGGGAGAAAATATTTGCAAATTATATATCAGATCGGGGCTAATATCCAAAATAGATAAATAACTCATACAACTCAATAGCAAAAAACCAAACAATCTGATTAAAAAATGGGCAGAAGATCTGAACATTTTTCCAAAGAAGACATATAGATGATAAATGAAAACAACAACTAACAAGTAAATGAAAAGATGTTCAACGTAATTAATCATCAGGGAAATGCAGATCAAAACCACAATGAGAGGGCTTCCCTGGTGGCGCAGTGCTTGAGGGTCCGCCTGCCGATGCAGGAGACGCGGGTTCGTGCTCCGTTTCGGGAAGATCCCACATGCCGCGGAGCGGCTGGGCCCGTGAGCCATGGCCACTGAGCCTGCGCGTCCGGAGCCTGTGCTCCGCAAATGGGAGAGGCCACGACAGTGAGAGGCCCGCATAACGCAAGAAAAAAAAAGAAAAAAAAGAAAAAAAAAAAAAAAAACCACAGTGAGGGACTTCCGTGGTGGTCCAGTGGTTAAGACTCTGCACTCCCAATGCAGGGGGTCCAGATTCGTTCCCTGATCAGGGAACTAGATCCTGCATGCCACAACTATAAAGAAGATCCTGCATGCGGCAACAAAGATCCCACACGTGGCAATGAAGATCCCACATGCCACAACTAAGACCCAGCACAGCCAACTAACTAAATAAATATTAGGGGAAAAAACCCCACAATGAGATATTACATCATACTAGTTAGAATGACTGTTATCAAAAAGACAAGAAATAACAGGTGTTTGTGAGATTGTGGAGAAAAGGGAACCTTTGTTCACTTTTAGGGGAATGTAAATTGGTGCAGCCACTATGGAAAACAGTTTGGAAGTTCCTCAAAGGATGAAAAATAGAACTTCCACATGATCCAGCAATTCCACTTCTGGGTATTTATCCAAAGAAATTGAAAACACTAACTCAGAAAGATACATGCAACCCCCATGTTCATTGCAGCGTTATTTACAATAGCCAAGATATGGAAACAACCAAAGTGTCCATAGATGGATGAAGGGGTATATGTATTGAAATATTATTTAGCCGTAAAAAAAGAATGAAATCTTGCCATATGTGACAAAGGGATGGACCTCAAGGGCATTATGCTAAGTGAAGTAAGACAAAAAAGAGGCAAATACCACACGATCTCTCTTATATGTGGACTCTACAGGGGAAAAAAAGGCCAAGCTCATAGATACAGAGAACAGATTGGTGGTTGCTAGAGGCAGGGGGTGGGATGTGGGGAGTGGGAGAAATGGGTGGACAGTGTTTTTTGGTTTTTTAGTTTAAATAAATTGCAAAGAAAGGGAAGGAGGAAGGAGGAGAAAATAATGCTCGCAAGAAGTGAACCAAAAATGTACAGGATCTTTAGAAGAATGTTGTGATGTCTTCTAGTTTTCAAAAAAATGATTGCTGCGGGGATCAAAAGCCATGTAAAAAGTGGAAATGCCATGCAGAAACACTTTTCTTGAGCTTATCATGCTATTCTGTGAGGGGCTAAGGATGCAGGAGTGAGCAAAACAGACGCAGGCTTGATGCGATTGTTAGTCTAGTAGGAGGAATAGTTATTAGTAATTTCACAAGTTCACAAATTGTGTTAAGTGCTATGGAGGAAAAGTGCAGGGTCTAATTCATTTTGATTCAGGGAAAGCTTTTAGAGAAGGGGCCAAATGTGAAGAATAAATGGGAAGTAACTCTGTAAATGGAGTGTTTCAGAGGGTGCTGTATGTGCACAGGCCCTGGGGTGGGAAAGAGCCTAGAACATTTGATAAGCTGATGCCCTGGAAGGCCAGCAGAGCTGTGCTGTGCTTGGGGGAGGTGTGGGAAGAGGGGCCATCACGTACGCTTTACTAGACCTCATTAAGGATTCTGGATTATTGTAAGTATAGTAGAAAGCAAGTGATGAGTTCTGAGCAAGAGTCTGTTGTGATTCATGTTTTAAGAAGATAACTGCTGGGCTTCCCTGGTGGCACAGTGGTTGAGAATCTGCCTGCCAATGCAGGGGACATGGGTTCGAGCCCTGGTCTGGGAAGATCCCACATGCCGCGGAGCAACTAGGCCCACGAGCCACAACTACTGAGCCTGCGCGTCTGGAGCCTGTGCTCTGCAAGAGGCCGCAATCGTGAGAGGCCCACGCACCGCAATGAAGAGTGGCCCCCGCTTGTCGCAACTAGAGAAAGCCCTCGCACAGAAACGAAGACCCAACGCAGCCAAAAATTAATTAATTAATTAATTAAAAAGCAAGTTAAAAAAAAAAAAGATAACTGCTGAGTGAAAAATGGGTTACAGTGGGGCACAAGTGGATGCAGGGTGGCCAGTTAGGCTTTTGCAGTAGTCTAAGCAAAAGAGACCTACGGCTTGGACTTGGGTGGCAATAAAGCAAGAGAAGGGCATACACGAAGGATGTGTCTTTAAGGTAAAGCCAACTGAACTTACTCATGGGGAACAAAGAAGAAGAAAGAATCTGATGACTAGTGGGTTTTAGACTGGGTGGGTGATTGTGTGAGAAGACCAGTAATACCACGGAACTGTACACTTAAAAATGGTTAAGATTCTACATTTTATGTTATGTGTATTTTACAACAATAAAAACATTGGGAAAAAAAATTCTGTACTGGGTGCATTCAGTTTTAAATAGAAAAGTTGTATAAGACAAGTTGGTATTATGTTAAAAACAGTGGACTTGAGGCCGGGACACTGACTGAGATGTCTTAGATAAGTTACTCTTCCCTTCAGGGCCTGAGTTTCATCATCTGCTAGATGTTCTTGTGAGTACTAAATGAGATGATGGGATAGAACCCAGCAAGGTGCCTGGCACTCAGTAGCAGATCTGTCAGTTTCATTTGAATCTGCAACCCAGGCTTCTGAATGAGTGAGCCTGGCCTCCCCTCTCACTTTATGCTGATTTATTCCTAAAATAACCAGAAGCTAGTGTTTACAGATTATCCCACATGCTAATGGAATGTTAGCTTCTATTACATTATTATTTTCATTGTTTTATTTCATTTTCACTACAATTATTTGAGATAGTAGGTGCCCCATCCCCTATTTTAAAGATGAGGAAACTGAGAAATGAAGAGGTTAGATGGTCCTGCCCAAGGTTGCAGAGTCAACGTATGACAGATTCTGGTCCCAAGTCGAGTGCTTTTCTCTTTATGATGCACATGCTTATGAAAACAGGTCCTTTGTATCTACTATGTGAATGGACTTTTTTCTTTCCTATCCCTCACATTTTTTATGAAGTCACGTTTTATAATTTTTAAAGTCAGTCCTAATGTTTGCTTCCAGACTAAAGCTAAGAGTAAGTGCTGCCAACATTAGACACTTTTAGGTCTTGCTAATAATCTAAAGAATCTGGTAATAGTAAAACTCTTAGTAAAGGTTAACTTGTGTTATAGTTAATATAGAGTTATAGATTACTCATATACCATATCATTTTGAGCTCTTTTTCATATTTTAATTAAAAGGGCATAGGAACAGTACTAAAAGGATCTTTCTGTAACATGGATATTTATTATTTCTAGGTGGTCTTGCAAAAGTGCAAAGTCAAGTCTCTATTGCACAGCCCTGGAGACTACATCCTCTTAAGTGCAGACAAATATGAGATCAAGGTGAGGTTTTTTTTCCTCCATTACTTTGCCTTATGAAAAAGTGTGGCACAGGGGGAATATTTCAAGGGAGGAAGGAATGTCTTTAAGCCCTCTTAAACCCACTGGAAAGAGAATTGTTCATTTCCCTGTGTTCTAGGCAGTTTCTAACTCTGATTTGTAAATGTAGAGGGAAAAAATATCCACAGAAATTTATCTTTGAGTGTTCTTACCTTTTCTTAAGACATATATCTCCTGCTCTCCTCAGTTCTTAGATCTAAAGTATGAAAACATAAACATTTACTTGTATAATAATAGCAATTTGCAAAGAAGTTTACAGAGCACTCTTACATGTATTTTTATTGCATCTTTTAAACTGTTCCATATGGTAGGCACTAACCATCTTCACTGCAGGAACTGAGGTTCAAAGAGGTTAAATATTTTACCCAAGATTACACAACACGTATGTGCCAAATCAGAATTTGAACCCATGCTTCAGCTCTAAAACCTGTGGTCTCTCCAGTTTACTTCACTTTGTATTTGACGTCAGCAAACACAAGCCACATTGTTTAAGGACAAGCTTTTCTATGGTGATGTGATCTCTCATCTTTCCTAATTTTCTCTTATGTGTAGATTTGGCCAATTGGGAGAGAAATTAACTGTAAGTGCTTAAAGACGTTGTCTGTCTCTGAGGATAGAAGTATCTGCCTGCAGCCAAGACTTCATTTTGATGGCAAATACATTGTCTGTAGTTCGGCACTGGGTCTCTACCAGTGGGACTTTGCCAGTTATGATATTCTCAGGTAATATTCCCTTGGACCTTTACCTTTAACAGTCTGTTGCAGTTTAATAATAAAGGCAAGGGCTTCCCCGGTGGCGCAGTGGTTGGGAGTCCGCCTGCCGATGCAGGGAACACGGGTTCTTGCCCCGGTCCGGGAAGATCCCACATGCTGTGGAGCGGCTGGGCCCATGAGCCATGGCCTCTGAGCCTGCGCATCTGGAGCCTGTGCTCCACAACAGTGAGAGGCCCGCATACTGCAAAAAATAATAATAATAATAATAATAAAGGCAAGACGAAATATTTCCATAAGCCAGTTAGTAACTTGCTTTGGGGAAATGTTTACTCCATCAGTTGTGTGCTGAAAATCTCACACATAAAAATGTTTTAAAGGCAGTAATTAAATTAGAAAGAGTTATATGTTAGAATGTAAAGGGTCTAAATTCTAAGTCTTCTTCTTACTCTGAGTTACTTCCACTTTAAGAATTTCTGAATTCCCCTTCCAGCTTCTCTGGAAAATGAAGAGTTTGGATGGAAAGATCTTTCAGATCTCCTCTAGTTCTAATATTTTAAGTTCTACTTCCTGGTCAGTTGAAATTCTGTGTTGAGGGATTGAGTGGCTTTCTGCTGACTAGCAGAAAGACAGAGAAACTTGGAGAAAGTTACAACCTGCAGAGTTTCTCTCCAAAGAAAGAAATAAAGGTCTATAGACAAATAATTTTGTGATTCACTGTGTATCATAGACCCCTCTTGGAGACTGGCAGTATCTGTTAGCATATTGGAGGCTGATGGAAGCCAGTGACATATGGTGATTAAGAGAACCTACTTTGGTGATAAATAAACCTTGGTTTAAGACCTAGTTCTCTTTCTTATGAGCTGTGTGATTTTATGTAAGTTTCTTAACCTTTCTGTGTCTGAATTGTCTCACCTGTAAAGTAAAGGTTAAATGAAATGCCTATAATGTAGACCTAGCAGAGGACCTGACAGGTTTTTATTACTAATAGATGTGAGAAGTTCTACATAAAGAAACCTGTTTTAATTTGTTTAACCTACTGTACCTCACATGTATTGTGCATAGAGCCCTTGTTTTGAGGAGCACATGTTAACAGCTCACAGAATTAGTGTTCCATAGCATGCTTCAGTAAGTACTGGCCTGGGGACAGAAACTGAACATTTTCTTCATTGTTTTTATGCATGACTGTTTGAAGTCAACTTGTATGGGATCTGATCCTACTAGCCAGCAGGACTTTGGTGGGCCCAGTCTCTCTGGTTGTAAAGTTACAACCTCATTTATGTCTTCCGGGAGTTAGACCTATGTTTCTAACCAGTTAGATTTCCAAGCTGTCAGAATAATTTCTAGAAATGATTGATAATTACATTTTGACAAATAAAGACTGGAACAGATGCCAGAAAACATTAGTCCAACCTCTTCATTTTATAGATGGGGAAACTGAAGCTGAGAGAGGATAAGGGCCTTGCCCAGTATCCCACAGCTCACCCTAGTCCTGCATCCATCCATCCATCCATCCGTGGTTGGATCATCGGGCAGGCATATGCTTAAGGAACCAGCAAGCCAGAGAGAAAGAACTTTTGAAAGAACTTGATTCTTTGCAAAGTAAGAAATTGAAGTACATTTGGCCATGGGTTCCGCACCCACAGATTCAACCAACTGAAGATCAAAAATATTTTTTAAAAAAAATGTCCAGAAAGTTCCAAAAAGCAAAACTTGAATTTGCCGTGCACCAGAAACTAGTTACATAGCATTTGCATTGTATTAGATGTAAGTAATCTAGAGATGGTTTGAAGTATACGGGAGGATGTGTGTAGGTTATATGCAGATACTGCACCATTTTATACAAGGGGCTTGAGCGTCCATGCATTTTGTTATCCAAGGGGGTCCTGGAACCAGTTCCCCACAGATATGACCTTAGTCACTGTGGGAAAATCAGATCTTTGATAGTTTAATATTGTTTTTGTTTTGAATTAAAATTTGGGAGAGAGGGGTGAAGAGGCAAGGTGGAATAGAGGTATTATAATCTGATTAATGCTTAGAGTTTGAGAGTCTCTCAAGGTTTAATTTGATCCTATATTCTCGTGCTGCTTACTCAGAATGGCATATAGAGTCCAGAGTCCCAGATGAAAGTTCTGTTAATTTTTGATGTTTCGATATACTAGCTGTAACCAATAAATCTGCAAGATTGCTTGCTGCTAGCAAGTACTAAGTTCAGATTTTTTTTTTTTTTTTGAAAAGGGGCTATTTTATCTCTTGCTTTTTCCCCTCAAACATGAACATAACAGCCTCTTTTTGAAATCTTGTACAAATCCTGTGGCCTCAGTTGCCAGGACCAGGTTGCATTCTGTAAGCTTTGATGCTAATTGAAAAGAAAGCACAAATAGTAGCATGTTGCTCCATAAAGTTAAGTTATGGTGCAATCCCTTGAGCTAGGTTACCTCAGTACAGCAGGTGGGGTTTTGTAGGTTTAAGGGCCCAGAGTGCACAGCAGGGATGTCTGTTTACAGTTCTAAAGTAAGCAAAGTAGAAGGTGCTGTGAGCCTGTCAGGACCTGTGTTCTGTCCTGCAGCACATTTGTGCTGGGGTCTTTGGAGTCAGCTCAGCTTCCTCAGGCTTAAGTCCTGTCCCCTAGCCACTCTGTTTTCCAAGTTTCTGGTCATTTTCTGCTTGTGTTGATGATGTGGGACTTACTAGACTTTCCTGCTGCTTTCCCCAGTTTCCCTTGGCTCTCTCTTGTAGGAATTTGTATTTTCCCATGCTTACTGCACCACCTCTCTAGTCATTAGCAGATACTTATTTATTTAACCTGTATGTTAGGCACTGTGATGTACACTGGGAACAAGCAGAGATACTTACCAAACTTGTGGAAATGAGTAACCAGGGAAGGCTGACATTAAACAGCTGACTACATGCAGGTGTTTTCATGGTTGGGATAAGAGCAACATGGTTCAGGGTACTTTGAGACCCTGCCTAGTTTGAGGAGTAAAGGAAAGCTTCTTTGAGGAGGAGATTGGGGCCGAGCTCTAAAGGATGAGTAGACGCATTTCACTAAGCACCAGGGGCGAGAGTGCAGCGAGGAGCATTGTAGACGCGAGGGCAGAGTCTGCTGAAAGGCCCTGAGACGCCAGAGCCCGGTGCCTTTGAGTGACTGAAAGAAGGCCAGAGTGGCAGACGTGCGTGCAGTAGAGAGCCATTGAAGGGTTTAAAAGTTTAAAATATGATAGGATTAGATTTTAGTGTGAGGTTAACTGATTGGAAGGGGCCAAGGGCAGACGTGGGGGCACCCATTGAAAACTCTTGGTAGCAGTGCAGGCAAAGGTGATGTCCTGGGTCAGAGTTGGGGCAGTTCAGGTAGTAGTGAATAAATTAAAGGAAAGTTTAGGAGGTAAAATCAGTAGATCTTGGTGATTGGATTTGTGGTTTGAGATTTGCATGGTTGCCATGTTTCCTAGCTTGAGCAGCTGGGTGAATGAGCAAGCAAGGAAATGAAGAAGAGAAACAGGTAAAGAAGGTTGTTTTGGACTGTTTGAGTGTGAGGAGCAGGTCTTATTCTTCACTGCTAAATCCCCTCCCTTCCTGATACCAGACTAAAATCTGCTCCTTTTTAACGGTCTTTCCCTTTGACCTTCGTTCTCTCTGCTAGGGCGCCTAATGCCTGGCCTCTCATGTATCCTTCACTATTGAAAGGTGATGATCGTGTATAGCTTCCCTGTCCCTGCCACTTTGCTTTCTCCCCGCCTCAAGCTCATATTCTTCAGCTGTTCCTTGCTTGTCCTGGTTACCAGGCCCTGTCCCTTCTGATTGACCTCTTGGACATACACTAGTTGGTAGTGTCCTTGTTAAGATGTAGGATAAACTGGAGTCTCACCTAGGCTCAAATATATTGTCACAGCAGAATTTGTATATCCCTTGTCTTATAGCTCTTTTCCTAGTGCCTCCAAAGAGGACATCAACTTTTCGCCTTACTAAATGTGCAGATAAGAGAGACAGAGGGTTTCGTTTTGTTTTTTTTTCGTTTGTGTTCCTGTTTGGCAAGGTCCCTCCCACTTGTCTGCCTTTGTCATCGATGTTTTAGGAACTGCCAACCTGAGAAGGTTAAGGCTGTCCTCCCAACTCTCACAGTTTTCTCTAACTTATTATCAATCTATTAATAAATGTTTCTGAATTATTTGGGGGAACTTTATATTTTCAGCCTCTGCTGTTCTTAGAGAGGAACCTGTGTTTGCTACATGCCGAATAGAGAAGCACTGAGTCTGAATCACTTGGGTTTTAGTCTTTGTTCTGGGCTGGGGGAGGTTCCCCTAGGCTAGTACCATCGGCCCTCCATATCCGTGTGCTCTGCATCCATGGATGTGGAGGGCCAGCTGTACTACGCTATTTTATGTAAGGGACTGGAGCATCCTCGGATTTGGGTATCTGAGGGCGTCCAGGAACCAATCCCTTTGGATAACAAGGGATGACTGTATAGTAGTTTCTACCTAGTGGTAAGAGTTGAGTGTTACCCTCTCGTTCTGACTGGTAACTAACTAGTTGTGAATCCTTAGCCAAATTATTTACCCTGGCTGTACTTCAGTTTTCACATCTTAGAAGTGAGAGTATTAAACGAGATAATCTGTAAGATCCTTTCCAGCTTAGATGGGCATTTTGTGCTTTTATAAATATTCATCTCCTTATATGCCTACGTTATATTACCTTATCATTATGAAGGGCTCTTCTCCCCGGCCTTTTTTTGAAAGGAGGGTGAGCTTTTTGTCCTCATATTTTCCTTTTTATAAAAATGTTTCATTTAATTCTAAATTTGCTGCTTGAATTTTGCATTGGTTTTAAATGTCTCCAGAAAAGATTACAGTAGCATAAACAAAAGCACAGTTGCCTTCTGGTTCATGTTTATTAACTCTCATCCTTGTAGGGTCATCAAGACTCCTGAGATAGCAAACTTGGCCTTGCTTGGCTTTGGAGATATCTTTGCCCTGCTGTTTGACAACCGCTACCTGTATATCATGGACTTGCGGACAGAGAGCCTGATTAGCCGCTGGCCTCTCCCAGAGTATAGGAAATCCAAGAGAGGCTCCAGCTTCCTGGCAGGCGAAGCGTCCTGGCTGAATGGACTGGATGGGCACAATGACACGGGCTTGGTCTTTGCCACCAGCATGCCTGACCACAGTATTCACCTGGTGCTGTGGAAGGAGCACGGCTGATGCTGCGAGCTGCGCCGCTGACTGACTTCGGGCGCCGGGGCTGCGGGTTTTGAGTGCAACCTCTGTGGCAGCCGACTGCATGAACCAAAGTTCTCACCTAATGGTATCATCACGCAGTGCACAATCATTTATCTCTGTTTGCCAGGGGGCCAGGGCTCGGGGTGGGGGAGGGCTCATTTTGTTGACATACACTGCAGCATGCTGATGGGGTGCACCACTGACTTCATTCGTACTTAGTTATGTTGGTCAGTATAAGAGGCTGCATTTGGGGTTCATCTTTCTTGAATATTGGTTTTAAGTAAAGATATTTAAATGGCTCATTAATCTGCTAATTGGTTGCCTATAAAAACACATTCAGTCTATTATTAAAGCTTTTTACCATTGCCTTTTTCTCTTTTGAAGTTGAAGCAAAGGTGCTATGATGTTGTTACAGCAACTTTTCTCACATGGGGCTTAGCTTTCCTAACAACCCGTGTTATAAAGACCACCAGGTTCTGTGACATTCATACTCTCCACCAAATACCAGTTCTAAAGAAAAGTTGTCTTCCAGTGCAAATCCAGCTCTATAAATTGATGGTTTATAACACATTCTAAACCCTAGTTCTTGACAGAGTGAAGGTGGGCCATGTCTGAGATGTGAGGAAGTTATGTAGTTTTTGTTTCTAGGTGGAGCAAGCTGGTCCTTGGTCCCCCACAGCCTAGGTCACTGCACAGAGGTGACATGGTACAGTAGAAAGAGCACTGAGCTGGCAGATTGAAGACTGGCTCTGTTACCTAGGAACCCTGCACCCCAGGCATATACTTCTCTGGTCCCCATTTTCCCTGTCTGTATAGCTAGTTGTTAGGCTGTCACTTGGTTTCTAAGACTCCTTTTGGTCCTGTGTCTGCTGAGGTGTGCAAAAGTTGATATTTCAGTTTTGTCTGATGCTGATTCATTGCTTCTTTAGGTTTGGAGATAATATATAAATGAAATCACTGATAGAAGGTTGTCACATACAAGGAAATCCAAACGTACAAAAAAGAATGGATAAGAGGGAATGTAGAAAATGTTACGCGTTCCACTTTAAAAATGTAAGTGATTGGTAGAAGAAATGCTGAGAGCAGCTGTGGTCCTCTAGAGAGGCAGTGTGCCATATTAGAAAGAAAGATCCCTGACCCTGACTTTCGTCCTCCTTTGCCTCTAACTTGATGTGTAGCCTCAGGCAGGTTAACTTTCTGTTGGAAATGAAGGAATTGCCCTAGATGAAGATTCGCAAAGCCACACGCCCAGGGGAGCCATGCAGATAAACATAAGTGAGTGCAGCATGCTGCGTAGGATGGGGCTGCACCAGGGGAAGCTTATCTGGCAGGCAGTTATGGAGCCCTAAGTGTTAGGCAGAAACAGGTCCAGTGTTTGGCAGGTCTTCTGATTTTTCAGAAGGAGGTAGAACTCCAGAATTTTATTTGTAATTCCCTAATTTTAAAAATGTTGACAGCGACTTGAAGATCATTCAAGATGTAGTGGGCTAAACAAAGCATGTCTGCGGGCTGCCAGTTTGTATTCTCCACCCTTTCATTTCTGTAAATTAGTTAATGCTGTGATTCGGCATTGGAACTGTTTTAACGTTAACTGTCACAAACATTAGGGAGAAAGTCGAGGGAGCAAGTAGTAGGAAGAATTCAGCTCTTTCCCGTTGTGTTACAGAGGAGTGAGGGGGGCATTTCATTCACAGACCGACAGGAAACTAGTTTGAAGATGAACTTAACGGGAACCTGAGTGAGAGCCTTTGCCTGGGAATATAAGGTATTCATTCATCTTCTTAACTCTGATATAAAGCACATCTGTTTTTCAGGTAGGAAAAGGGTTGCTGGCAGAGCTGAAAATGATTCAGAGTACAGTGGGGACACAGCTCTCCCAGAATCCTGTCAGCCTAGAGCCTGACAGTGGACCTCTGAATGCTGCAAAGTTAGTGTTTCAGAGAATTTTGATGGTTGGTTTCAAGGACGGGTTTAGTTAATATCCATGTTGAGGCTCTGAGGGAATTACGTAAAAGAACAATTATCTTTCTCCGTCCCCCAAATCCATTTCACATTGAGTTCTGTGTGTGAGCTCTGCTCGGTCCTTCACGAAGTGGAACCAGATTAGAAGCTGGAATCTATTTTGCAGGAACCTCAGGAGGCTTTGGGCCATGATAAGGGTAAACAACTTAACTCCTTTTCATCCAGCCAGAACCAAAAAACTGAGATTACTGATCTAATGACCATCCCTATTCCCACCTCACCATCAGATATATCCAATAGCTTCGAAGACCAAGCGATTATAACTATAGTCATTTGTGGGAAAAAATTTTTGAAAGTGACAAACCTGAAACCTGTATGGCATGTCCCATTTAAGTTTTCAGAGGTGAATACCAAAGTTACTATCAAGGTAGTACAGCTGATTTTGACAGCAGTGCTTAGGGTCCTAACTTTGATCCTCCTCACAGAGGTCTTTGTTTCACCTGAGCATTTTATTTAATTGCTTTATGGATGCTAGCTTTATTCATAGTATTGTCAGCTTTTATACAAATGGAGAACTTAACTTATCCTTTAAAACGAAATAAAGCCAGGTGGGGAGTCAGTGAGAACAGTGGGTAGGGGATAACTCAGTCTCCCTTCACGGAGTCAGGAGCCTCTCTGCCCTGCACACTGACTTCTGCTTCCTTAGCTCAGAGGCAAGGGGTTTGCCTTTGCCTCTTCTTTTGTGAATATTCTCATTTCTGAAAAATTCTTAATCATAAGCAGATAGACTCCATCTTTCTTTATGAGTGTTGGATTTCTTGAGTGGCCCTGGTGTGGTAGAAGGGGGGGGCTTCTTTCCTCTCCGGTTTGTGTAGGGATCCATAA